CAAATTAGTATTATATAGAACAATTCATGCTAAATTAATCTCTAGGCTTTCAAACACAGTTTGTCATAACTAGAGCTATCAAAAAAACTCGTTGTTCGCGGACAGTTCGTGTTCAGTTCGCCAATGAGTTCGTGTTCGATTCGTTCGATAAGTAAATGAGACGAACGCAAACATTTTTTTTTTTTGATAAGTTAAACGAATCAAACACAAACAGTGATGCATTCGTTCGTGTTCAAATCATTATTGTTCGAAATATAAAATAATTTAAAATAATAATATATAAAAAAATTATGATATTTTAAAAAATTAAATTTTATAAATTATAATATATAATAATTTAATAATAATAATATATTAATATACTATATTAATAATATACTAATATAGATATTATATATTTATATAATATAAATTACATAATTAATATAATATATTATTAATATATATTACTATTAGGAATGTCAAACTAGCTCTTCGTTCGCAAACAGCTCGTGTTAACTGATTCGTTAAGAAACGAACACGAAAAGTGACTTCACCAAACAATTTCGAACACGACCTTATTTCAAACAAATTACATTTCAAACGAACCGAACACGAACCACCACAAGCTCTGCTCGCTCGTGTTCGGTTCGTTTACACCCCTAGTCATAACATATTGACAAATTTTTTTTCTCAAACTTAATTAAAAATTAAGCTTGATGAGAAATCCATGTCACATACAGGCAATATACATGGCAGCAGGAAAACAGTTCAAACATTCTAAACAGGAGAAACAAAATGGGGGGATTTAAATACATACCACCAAACTCTTACATGCTTACATATATAACAACAAAAATTTTAATTTATATGACTCCTGGTGTCTGAATGACATCCAAACAAATGCATGAAAATACAAAAAGATTCACATGTAAAACACCTATAAATCTCTGTAATATTAGCAAAACAGTCAAAACCATCAGATCACAGCAGCCGGAAGTAGCACAGACAAGTGTAGAGAAAGATATGGGGGTGCGAATTATTGCTACAATATTGATAAGGAATCAATGATGAAAAGATGAATAAAAGAAAGTTAGAAATTTACAGACGCATCACACAGTTTTTGGGTATTTACATATCTCAGGCCTAATCTTTCATGTTAACACCATTTCATACACAATGTATGAAAATATGAAAGTTTAGGTTAGGTGGGAGAGATGTAAATGCATAAAAATTGTGTGGAACGTGTGTAAATTTTCCTAAAATTAAATTAATATTTATTTACACTGACTGCAACAAATATGACTATAACAAAGCGGATGGAAGACAACACCATTTCTCTATTACAGTGAGAAGCCATTGGAAGGGGCGTGGAAGCTGGTCGGAGGTAGGAGGTGAAGGAATTATGGGTAGGGGTAGTTTGGTGGGAAGATGTTTATGGAAAGCGTTCACCGCTCCTTCCACACCATCTTCATTCTCTATCTGCTTGCCCAACTCCATTGCTCGTAGCTTCACCTATACAAATATATTAAAAATAAGAGAGGTAAAACTTAGGTTCGTCTTGCATTATTCGGTCAAAATCTAGAAAACAGATTGAACCAAAGACGTTTGGTTGATTCGGTTTGGTTTCAAAAATGGATTTTGGGTTTTCGGTTTATAAAACTTAATATTCGGTTTTTTGATACGGTTCAATTATGCTTTTAATTTAAACAAATAAACCGAAAAACCAAAGAGGAATAGAGGATTCATGCAATATATGCAATTTTTTATGTTTGTTCGTAACCAAGATTTGACTAGCAATTAGATTTCGGTTTGGTCATGACTAAAAAATGTTTAAATCAAATTTAAATTTCGATTCGGCTGGTTCGGTCTTACCAAAATTTTGATTAGTTTAGGGTTTTCAGATTTTGGATTTCGGTTGTAATTGGATTGACCAATTTCAAAATGGATCAATCCAAATCGACTAAATACTGACCCGTATAACGTAAGAAAACGCAACAAAGGCAGATATAGAATGATGCTATGTGCACCAAAATTTCAGAGTGTAGAGTCGAGATAATAACCTCTGGTTCAAGCATAAATCTTATGGCATTAGAGAGACGTTCAACATTGAGCTCTGATATGGGAATAGGTGGTGGTCCAACTCCTTTTGAAACTATCCTTTCACCCCAGAAGAATTGGTCTCCAAAGAAGGGCACGACGGTGGTGGGACACTGCAAATTATAGATGAGAATTTAGTAATCAAATTTTATAGGAAGATTTACATACATATACCATATGTCTAACACCTAAACTTATATTTTACATATGTGCCACTGTACCTTTGCATGAAAGGTGTATTTCATTTTTTAAAGTTAAAATAGTGGCATTTTTTATGTGATTTAAAAGATTTCGGTGGTATAAATGTAAAATGTAAAATTTCAGTGTTAGATGTGTAAATACATAGGAATTTGCTGGTATGTAAGTAAATGCTCCAAAAGTTTAGGATCAAATTGGTCCCTACTTTTTTTTTTAAGTATGTCCATTTCAGTCCCAAAATTTTACATCATCCAATTTTGTTCTCTAAACTCAATAAATATAAACAATTCAGTCCCATGTCAACTTTGCCATTCTCTAAAATGGAATTTGATGGGAGTCTTTTATGAGGACACTTGTTCTTAAGGTTAGTCCCATTTAATTGACCTAAAGTATTGAGTAGTGAGATTAATCTTAAGAAATCCAAAATGCCCTCTTAGAAAACTTCTCTCCACCAAGTCCTCACCAAAGAAAAGACAAAATTGACTATATGTCAAAATAGATTCATATTTGATGAGTTGAGATAAAAAATTCAACACCTAGGAAATTCTAAGATTAAAATTGATGACCTAAAAAGTTTTAGAAACATTTTGGTCATCTACTTTAAATGCAAAAAGTAATTCTTCATGCTTAGTAATGAAAAAATATTAGCTCAGGAGTATTGATGCATCAGTACTCCAATAGTGGGGTGTCACGTATGCAATGGTCCCACCGTGGCGCCACGTGGCACCCCACCTCAGGAGACATTGGAGTAATGATGCATCAGTACTCCTGAGGTAATATTTTTTCCGTGGTAACATCTTGCTCTAGATTTTAGAATGACGCTTTTGAATTTTCAATTTGACCAATACCATGCTAATAAAAGCACATAAATATATCGGAAAGAAGATTACCCCAGCTCTTAGTCCTGCAGCTGTTGTACCAGCCCCACCATGGTGAACCTAAACAAATTTTCAAACATTATATTAATCAAAAAGTATGGCAAAGTACCAGTTAAAAGCTTCTTCTAGAATACTTTTACAAGCAGGTAAGATTTGAAAAAGAAGTAAAAAGAAAAAATAAAGAACAAATTAGATTTGAACAAACAATTTGCTATATTTTTTAAAGAAGATTAAATACAAGATTATTCCACAGGGATGGATATGCATATTATTTACTAATAGAAGACTGCATTGCATCATCTCATTTATAATTCAGCTTCCAAATATGCCAGCAACAATCAAAGCTAGCATCACCAAAAAAATAAGTGACAACAGATCCTCAAGTTATTAAAACTTATCCCTTTAATTGGCCAAAATGAACTATTACTTCATAAATATCTTATTTTTCATGCAAATTTGAGGTTTAGTAGAAGGCATCTATCATACAAATTCCATATATCATTTCAATTCACCGTTACTTCAAATACTCCAGTTTTTCATACCAAGCATAAAAAATTTAACGGAGCATGTGTAAATTCTGTGTCATTTGAGTTGTACATTTTGAAAAGTTACACTGAGGTGTATAGAATTATGAGAGCTAAGGGAGCTAAAGAAGTAGATTAAGCTCTTCACTAAAATTCTTATCACAATGATTAATGCCAAATGATTGGATAAGAAATATATAGATGTAGTCTCTAAGAAAAGAGAAGCTGCTCACAACTGCAATAATTAAAGCAGAATCAAACAATAAAAAATAAATCTCTTGAAGTTTTATACCAAAGAGATTTATCATGAGCGCAATCTTCTATAAGAGAAACCAACAAAGAAAAAAGAGACCATCTAAAAAGGCCAGAATTGACTTGTTGAGCATTAAATATTTTCCATAGGTATTTAGGCATTTTAAAGTTCTCAAGATATTTATGTATTTGAAGTAGCTAGTAGTGGCAGCAACAAGAGAGTTACAAATATGTTTTTAAATTACAGAAGGGTTAAAGCAAAATCAACAATAAATCCATATAATAAGTTGGATATGAATATGTTTCCAAAATATATTTAAAATGCAAAACGGTTTTATATATTTTTCCTAGAAATAATTTTGATAGAAAGTCCTCTTTATAAGTGAGAAGTTAGAGCAATAAAAAACATATTTAAATAAAATTGAGTTTCTGATTGATAAAATAAAATTTAATTAGAAGATAAACAATTTTAATGAATTTAATATTGATAATTATACATTAATCCAACTGTCAAGAGCCCTAAGCAATGCCAAAATCAATGCCTACTGTACTAACACATCAACCTCTCATTTGCCGCACAAACCTCCAGCCACTTCTTTCAATGCCTTCACCCTTTCATAAGCCCTTGTAAAATTATATTTAATTTACACATTGATAGGCCACCTCCAGAATCGTGAAACCAGGCTCCTATCTACTTTTGGGAGTGTCTTGAGAGGTAAATGAGCCAGTTCCATCACCATCACTTCTATGAACACAACTAGTCTTTTAATCTTTAAGGAATAGTTTTTGGGCCTCGAGGGAGTTGATAAAAGACATAATTTTATAACATGTCATAATCTAGTTTGTTTGGACTAGTAATTTTGGATATATCAGCGCCTACCATAACAGGATTATTTATCTAATAAAATAATCAAATGTTTATTTATTTAAAAATTAATAGAAATACCTATGAACCTTTGTTTATCATAAGTGAAATAAGTCTTAAAAATCCTATAAGCAAGTTTTTAATGCACAAAAAATCCACAACATATAATTAGTACTAATACAAATAGAAAGTCTTCAGTAATATATGAAAATAGTTG